CCTTCCTATACCACTCATGCTGGAACCTTCCTAGGCCACATACCTTCTATGGTATAGTTTAACACACTGGAATGAAAGTCCATTGAGAAGTTGCCATGGGCATTCACTAGCACCTTCTACTTCAGAAGTCCCTTGCTACCATGTCCACCATGGGGACAAACTTCTGAACGGCCTTTGGTGACAGCACATGTGGGTTGAGCCTCAGTTGGTTGAAGCGCCATTCAGGTCCATTTCTGCACGGCACAGAACAGAGCTACAGACACCTCCCAGGATAGGTCTGGCCCAGGCCCGTTCCCATCTTTATGCATCTAAGATGTGCCAGGCTCAGAAGCAGGCTTTGCTGGTCCTGTTCCCACTTCTTTCTACAAACATAGCTTCCATGTGTCGGACAGAGCTCACTAAGTCTACAGTGCACTTGATACATCAACAGCAATGGAGAAAGGAGACTGTGTTGTCAAGCTCTGTCCATCTGGCCTGCACCAGCCTGCCCACAGAGGAGATGCCCTAGCTGAGCTCACCAACCAGGTCAGTCCCATACAATGTGTGGTCTCTGAGACACCAGCATCTGCCTGTCTCAGCTAAGGGATCTCATCCTCCCTAGGGCAGGAGTTACAGCAGAGGACCACTTACAACAGGCACAAACCACAGTCCAGGACATAGGGCTCCCATGAGATTCTCCAGTGAATGACAACAGGAGTTTGCACACAGACACACAGAATCTTGGTGTAATTTTTAGTCTCATTTTTATTTAAAATGAACTGTGATGAACAAATATCTTTATTTCTAGTGCACATTAGCATCTATCTATCTATCTATCTATCTATCTATTTATCTACCTATCTTTCATGACCCTTCTATGTGTGTCTGTAGTCCATTTTCCTATTGGTTTCTTTATGGTGAGATTACTTTGTGAATACATGGTGAATGACAGAAACTCACATCTACTCCTCATTTGCTGCCAATTCTTTAAGCAAGGACATATGTTTATTTGAAAGCAAAGCCTCCTTTGGCAACTCTATTAAATGCAAGAGAATGAGGGTAAAAACAACAGAGATTTATTTATATCTCACTGCTGTAGAGGCAAGAAGCCCCACGATCAAGGTGCCAAGAGTCTCAGTGTCTGCTCAGGGCTCATTTTTAGATGGCACTGCCTGTAGCTACATGGTAGAAGGGAGGAAGGATTGAACTCGTATCCCACTGCTCTTTTAAATGTGCAGCTAGCCCATCCTCGAGTGGACCCCTCATGGCCTAACCAAGAACTCTGATGGGAGATGTCATTCTGTATATGTTTCTTATACTGGTTAATGAATAAAGCAATGTTGGCCAATAGGAAAGGAAGATAGGAGGGACTAGGAGACAAGGAGGAAATAGGAAGTAGTAATCAGGAGTCAGGATGGAGGGACCGGGGAGACCAGATGCCTGCCCCACTCCCCGGTAGGTGAAACCACGTGGAAATACATAGAAATGGGTTAATAATTAAGATAGAGCTAGCCAATAAGAAACTAGGACCTGGTCAACAGCATAATATCAAATACAGAGTTTCTGTGTGTTATTTGGGGCTGGCGGCGCGGCGGCAGGACAAGACCAGGCAGAGGGCGGAAAAACCTTACTCACTCCTTACAGAACTCCACCTCTCAATACCACCATAATTGCAGAGTGTGTGTGTGTGTCTGTATTGAGGTATAATAAGGATCAGGAGAAACAGATAGGCCGAATAGATGTTTATTGAGAGAGAAATAACTTACAACATAGACAGATGAACACCAGCAGGTTCCTGGTCCCAAGGATGCCTCCAGATGTTCTCCTGTCCCTGTGTTGCAAACAAGAGAGCTTTTGGAACCCCTTCCTCAAACTTAGTTCCCCCAGGTAACATCCACCTATGTCCCCACCCCCAATGGGTGTGGTCTGTGCCACAGGTGTGGACAAAGTGAATATCTCACTGTGTGTGTATGTGTGTGTATGTGTGTGTGTGTGAATGCGTGAAGTTTTTTTTTTTACACATTTTATTAATTCTATTCATATGTTTTTACATAGCAATCCCAGTTCCAGCTCCCTCAGTCTTCTTAATCTCATCCTGTGTTCTGGCCCAACCAGTTTTCCCCATAACAGACAAGGAAATAACAAAAGAAGTCCTCATGTCCATATTTTATAGTAAAAATATGAAAAATTGAGGCAGAATATTCCCTTTAAATTACACCAGTTCTATGGAAATGGTTACCAATGAGAATTAACTAGATGAAGCCTAGGATACAGAATTTGAAAGAAAAAGTATAAGCTTCTTCAAAGAATTGAAGAGTTTAATAGAGATTGAAAGAAAGAGATAATGAAATTAAAGAGAATAAACACCTGAGTGAATCCACCCCAAAAAATACAAAGGTAAGACTGATATGAATGAAAAAGGATATCCAAGAATTGAGAACAAAATTTAATAAAGAAAAACATTGAAGGGAGCTCAACCTGAAATTAATATGTAATCAAAACTACTAATAAACCAACTAGAAAACTCAAGAGGCAGTTTTACAATTGAATGTCGATCAACCAGAGTATGGAAATGCAGGTCTTGAAGTTGAAGTAGAGGAGCTAGATGAAATAGGCAAAGAATATGAAAAAAGAAAGAAAAGGGGAAGGAACAGACAAGAAATATGAGACACCATGAAAAAAAACCAAACCTTCAAGTTATAAAAATAGGTGAATGAGAAGAATCCCAAGTCAAAGGCATAGTCAGATCTTCAATATGATCATAGGAAAAAAAAACAGATTAAAAACACACATATTGATAACAAGAAACACAAAGAAATCCACTAGACAAGACCAGAAAAGAAAGCCATATTATAGTTCAAACACTAAGTGTACAGAACATAGGAGTATTGACAGCTGAAAGCACAAGTCACATATAAAGGAAAACCGTTCAAATAACAGCTGATTTCTCATGGAATTTTGAGAGTCAGAATAGCCTGAAGTAATGCATTCCAAGTTCTAATAGACCATGACTGGCAACCTATACTAATGAACTCTGCAAACTACCTGCCATAATTGAAGTAGAGAGAAAAACTTTCCATGATATAAACAGTCTAAAATGTTTTATGCAAGATCAATCCTAAGGGAAATATGGGAGGCGATATTGCAAGCTGAAGACAAAAGTGAGTATAAACAAGAGATTGTAGAAAGACAACAAAGTTATAATTACTGAAGCTCAAAAGAGCACTGACAACACAACTCCACTAAAAGCCAACAACAAAATGACTGCAATCACTACTCACATTCAATACTAATTTTAAAAATCAATGACCTAAGTTTCCAAGCAAATGATGCAGGGTTGTACTTAGACTTCCCCTATCACACAAGGCAGTTACCAAATAACTACACTAAGACTTATGAAAGCTTGGCCAATGGGTTAGGCTTGTTCGTAGCTAGCTCTTATAAGTTACATTAACCAGTTTATACTAATTGATATGCTGCCCTGAGGCTCATTTCCCTAGTCTACATACTTTCCATCCTGTTCATTCTACTTTACACATCCATAAATAATGACTAATGCAGTAGAAAATAGGAATGGGGCCCTCATCTGTGTTATGACATGGATGGTACCACTCAAAAAAAAAAAAAAAATCTAGACAGACCCACGATGCTCAGTGAGAAAGATGACACTGCTTGCTCTTGTCCACGTGGGTGTGTTACTAAGCATGGGATGCAATTTGGTCTACATGCTCTTATAGTGCTAACTTACAAATGTGATTGACCTTCACATGGGTAGACTTCCTGAATGTGGGTAGCCTCAGCCCATTCTGTTAAGGGCATTGTGAACAAAGACAGAGGTGTTCTTGATCTGGGATTTTGCTCCTCATACTGCAACCTAGATGCTCATTGCTTCTAGATTGTGCACCAAAGATTTTGGACTCACAACTGCTGTATCAGAACAGGCCTAACTAAACCCAAGCCCGATGCGCTGGCCCACAAATTCAGAGCCCACTCTCCTTTTCTCCCTTCCTTCCTTCCTTCCTTCCTTCCTTCCTTCCTTCCTTCCTTCCTTCTTTCTTCCTTTCTCTCTCTCTTCCTCTCCCTCTCTCTTTCTTTCTTCCTCCACCTCTTCCTCCTTCTCCTTTTTTGACATAGGCTTTCTCTTTGTAGCTCATGCTGTCCATGCACTCATGTGTACACCAGGCTGGCCTTCCACTCAACAGAGATCCACCAGACACTATCTTCAAGTGCTGGGATTAAAAGCTTGTGCCCCATCACATTCAAAGATAATACATTCAGGTAAATCTCTCCTCCCATCTCACTGTTCCCTGCCTTTCTGTGTCACACTCTGTAGATGGGTTGGTGTGTATGCATATGCACACTTCCTCAGCATTTTAGATAAAAAGATAACCCACATCCAAATAGGGGACATACATACACACAGGTACAGAAGATAAAAATGAACCTCAGTGTGAGAGAGATAGGCCAATTGCAGAGGAAGTTATCCCATATCATAGGTAAAAAAAGATGAGACTGTCAGGCCCAGTGGTTAATATGCCACTAATTTTCAGGCACATTTCCCATGACCTGATGACTGAAAGAATCTAGTAAGTACTGTCACTGGAGCTTATCCGGGGCCTGTTTTAGCATACATACTTATTGGCATAAGAACACTTCTGTCTTTTGTGAAAATACACCCATATACTAAGACTGCCTGATGCTTTGTACCTACCTCATGAGATGAATATTTAGACTACAATGTTTAAAGGATGCCAAGCAGCTTAAACCCACAAAGGAAATCTTAAGGAAACAGAAGAGGAAGGAGCTGGTTTGTGTAGAGAGACCAGGCAGAATGCTCCTGCACAGAAAGAAAACATAGCCAAGGGCATTTTTCAGCAACCATTGCCTTTATTTATTTTTTACAACAGGCTATGAATGGGCACAACAGATGCCCCAAACACTGTCTCTGCTTCAAAAGAAAACATTAAAGAACAAACTAGCTTACAACTGTGGGAAGATGATTACACCCTGGGGAGGATTTCTCAGGTCAGTATGCTGCTAGAGAGGATTAAGGCAAGGGTCAAGAGAAGGTTGCACTCCCCTGGAGACACAGCTCTGGCAACTACTTCTTCTTCAACCACAAGGGGAGGTAACAAGTCCCTCTCTACATTAGTAGGTCCTCCATCATTGCAAAGAACGCCGGAGCAGCAGTTGGAATAGTAGAAGCTATTGGTGCTGGGAAGTCTTCTTGACAACTCAGTTGGTGGAGGCTGAACATGCACGAAAGTGCACTCTCTCATACAGTGTTTGTAGACTAAGAGTGCTCTAGAGCTCATACCTAGAAAGGATGCCAGCAGGAGAGTTACTACATTCATCTTCATTGTAAACCCAGCACCATAGTCAACCACAACTAGGCACATGGCTCATGACTTGTAAACTCATATCCTACATCTCATACTTCCTCCTCATCTAGCTGGTGGCTCCACCCTTCCTAGCAGCATCCCCTCTGCCCTGAAAATCCTGTCTAGGTATTGGCTATTCAGCTCTGAACCAGATATAGTAACACTTGTTTACAATGTATGAAAGTACTATTCAACAAGAGGACATTGTCAAGAATGCTTGATAGAAAAGGACCAGGTATACTGCTCCAGTACCAAATTCCACACTGACCTGTCTATGCATTGCTACCTCATATGTCTGTCACTGTCCCTCCCCAGCTGACAATTTAGTCTCAGGACACACAGCAATGCTAATGAAATATCTTCTTCAGTGCTGGTTCTAATATTATCCTAAAGTTCATCACCAAGGTCTAGAAGGAAACAGTGACCAGAAGCTTTGCTCTTTGAGACTCCAGAGATGATCAAGGGCACAGAGGAGTGCTCACATTCATGACTTCAGGATGAAGTCCTCCCCCAACCCTCTGCCTGGCTGTCCAAGTTTTGGCTTCTATGTCCAAAGCACAGGGGACCTTGATGGCATGTTCTCCAGCACAGATTAGATGGCCCATTCCTAGCAAGGCTCCATAGAGAACAAGACCTCTGTCACCACTGGTTTCAGCCAACTATGCTTGTGTGTGAACTGAGCCCTACTGGCAACACCCCTACTGGATGAGGCCTTGCTGCTGCTTGTTCCCCTGGTTATCTGCAGCCATTATTTAGTTCCTCTGCTGTGGAAGTAACCTGGACTACTTTAGCATCCACAGCCCTGAGACTTGTTTGCTGCTTAACATCAGGACCTTGTGATCATGAACCAAGCAGCCCCTCTCTGATATAAAGTCTGTTTCAATCCATAGTTGAACTTTGGCTCTGTCAGTTACCTCTACTCAGTTTTGATAAGACTTCTCTTCATGAATCATCCAATTCCCAGTATTTCCTCATTCCAGAGTGGTCTCCCTGTCTACCTGAAGCTTAGAAAGGTTCCTTCCTGTCAAGAGGCTGGCAGTTCCTTCCTTCACAATAAATTAAGGTTAACTACACTGTGATGGAGAAATAACTCCACTCATTTCCATTTTTTGAGAACTTTGCCAATGCTCACCATTACATACGTCTATGAATTCCATGAACCAGAGTTGGAAGACATGGAAAATGTGTGCCTTGGGCCATTTCTGTCTTGGTTTCCTGGTGATTTCCTTTTGTAAAAGTTGTTTTTGTTGGCAAAGTAAAACACAGAGAAAAAGGCCTTGTGGACCACAGTGTTCTCCTTCCCTGGATATTCAGGGAGTGTAGACTGTGAGCTTACTATCAACCATAGGCCCTTGGCCTCATGAGAAGATGCACAGTGCTGTATCAGTAGGCTGAACCCAGTGCCTGTGAACAGTCTTTCAGTCCAAGGAGCTGCCAAAAGATTGGTGCATCTGGCTGCAGAGAGAACAGACTGACCCTGTCCCCCAATTTGTGCAAGTAAGTCTGTTTACGCTGCCAGAAAACAGATACTTACGTACGGCAATTGTCCCACAGCGTCTTTGATCATCATTACATGGATGTTCCCTGGGGCAATTGAAGGTGTTCTTCTGAGAACACTGATGACATTTCATAATAATATCTGCAAAAGGAAAAAAATCCTGTTGGGTGTCTCCCCAAGAAGCCTTTCCACCATGAAACTCTCCTCACCCATTCTTTCAGCTGGTTCCCAATGCAATCTTCTACACAAGCTACCACAAGGCCTGCAGAGCTCAGATCCTGGCATAGTCTAAGACAGAGCCAGACCAGGTCCCAGGATTGCCATGGACCCATCGAGAAACTTTCCTTTTTCTAAAAGGCTGATCAAATGAAAAACAGCTGAGCTTCTCCAGGGCTTCTCTGGAGTCAGCACCTGCTGTTCCTGCCAAGAAGTGGTATGGGCAGATGCTCCCCCAGGTCTCCTGGTCAACAGCTCTCTGTGGGAGCCTTCAGTCTACTCAACCACATTGAATCTTAGGAGTACTTCTCTAAGCATGTCTACATGCTAAAACCATGTCTAAACATGATGAAAGAAGGTTGTTATATGGCAAAATAAAATAGTAAATAACTCCTCTCCTTGTTTTGGCTATTAGAAATCAAAGTGTCTCTGTGACCTCATTATGCATGTCTAATAAACAGAGCTGCCTATTTCAAAACAAATAAGGGGTCAATGAGATGGCTCAGTGCTTGCCACCTGGTTATGCTGAGGCCAATTCCAATCAAGTCTTCTTACAACCCTAGTCAGCTCTAGATGGAGTCTCCTTATACCACTGGGAGTTTTGAGACCATACTTACTTTGCCTAGGTTGGATGGCAATGCTCAATGACGTGGTACCCTTGTCCCAAACACTGGTACTATTGTTCCACACACTGGTATGGTTGACAGTGGCATCTACCCATGGGAGAACTAGGAGAATTAGCCAGAAGAAGAAGAGCATAATCTCCAACACACAGGTGAACCTGAAAGTGAAGAGAAACATGGCCATCAGTGAGGGCAAGACTCCTTGAACCAGGTCCATATCCTCAGCATCAATGCACAGAGGAGTCATCCATGGCCTTGGCCACAACCTCAGCAGTCTAACATAGTGGTCCCACCATGGGAGCTTCAGATCCTTGCCTACTCTATCCTGCTCTGCTACCTACATGAATCTTGGCTCCCAATTCTGAAACTGTCCTGATGGTTCTGTTATCTTCTCCCTTATAGACATTCTTCCTCCCATGGATATAGTTCAAATCCTCCCAACCCAATCTGTTTTCTACCCTAACATTGGATTTAAGATTACCCTACCCATTGTTAGAAACTTTCCATATCTTCCTGATTCCCCATTCTAGAATCATCCTGCTGAATCCCCTGGGTTTAACTTATGGAACTGTCTGCCTGAGCTGGATCTTATCATCTCATATCGAGAACTGAGATGCTTTTTCTCCCCCCTCTGTCTCTGTCTCTGTCTCTCTGTACTATGAGTGACCTTCCCTTTGTGCTTTGTCCATCTCTCTTCTGCACCTTCTGGCCTCTCTTTTCTTTGCATCTCTCCTTGATGCTCTGAAGCTCTCTTGGAAATCTTCTCTCAAGGCTCTGATCCTCTCTTGAAACTCCTCCCTCAGGGATCTGACTCTCTTGGTACCCTACCTTCAGGCACTCCCTTTCTTGGCACAACTCCTGCTCCCTCCTGGCACTGAGGATCTCTTGACTCCCTTCTCTCAAGGCTTTGACCCCTCTTAGGGCTTTAACAGTCTTAAGAATCCTTTGTTGAAGGATGAACTCTCTTTATACAATTTTCTCAGAGTTCTGGCCCTCTCTTCTAACCCCTCAGAACTCTGTTTCTTGGTAGCCTCTATCAAGGCTCTGACTATCTCTGACCCTCACTATTTCTCCCTCAGGGATCTAACCATGTCTTGGTGCACTTCCTTAAAAGCTACAAGTCTCTCTCAACCTCTCTTAATGCCCTACCTCTTTTTAATGAACTTCCTTAGGCCTCCAAAACTCTTTCGGGGCCCTGCTTTTAGGGCTCCAACTTTGGGTGTCCTTGCCAGTACTTAAGACCTTATCTGGAGCCCATCCCTCAGGAACCCACCTTTGTCTTGGCACTCTGTCTTCAAGGTTGTCCAGATAATCTTCCTTGGCACCTCCCCCCCCTCCCCCCGCCAACCACCCGCCTGGGCTCTAACCCTTTCCTGGTCCCCTGCCTTCCGGGAGCTTGTCTTCTTTCCATCAGGGTTCAGATCCTCCTTTGCCAACCTTATTTCTTGGTTCCAACAATCTCTTTGTACCTTTCCTTCAAGTATTTCTCTTGAGCCCTCTTGGTGCTCTTACCTCGGGTCTCTAGCTTTATCTTGGGCCTTGTATTTGTGTCTCAAGTTTGCTGTTGGCACAATTCTTTCAGATTTCCAACTCTTTTGGAGCCCTTCCCAACGTTCCTAAGCCGGTCCCCTAACCCCTCAAATCTCCAACGGTCTTTCGGTTCACTTCCGTCGAGATCTGACCCCCGTTTTGGTGCCTTCCCTTAGGGTTCCGACACTCTCGTCATGTTCTACCCACAAGGTCCCAATCTTCTGAGGGAAGGATGGCCAGAGAGCCTCTAGAACTAAGGTGACTGTCAAGAGAGGTGAATCCCTGAAATATGGGCACAAAGGTATAGTCCAAGCCTCAAGAGAAGAGTATCTGAAGAACTTCATAGCCCCAAGGGATGGGCCAAGAAAAGAAGTGCCTCAATGTGGGGGCCCCGGAAGTGGATCAGAACACTGAAGGAAGTACAAGAAAGGGCCAGAGCCCAGCCCAGCAGAAGCATGTCAACAGAAGGTCCAATCCCGAGGGGAAATTCACCAAGTGATTCTGAACTCTGATAGAAGGGCACCAACACACGACTTGAGAATGCTGAGAAGAACAGCAAGAGAGAGATGGAGTGCTGTGGGAAGAAGTGGACCAAGACAGATGGAGTACTGAGGTGCCAGAACCATAAAGGAAAAGCACCAAAATAGTCTGAATTCTGTGGAAACTACAAGCACCAAGACAAGGTCAGAGTTTCGTAGAGGTGCACCAAAAGACCATTGGAGAGCTGAAGAATTAGAATAGGGATTCAGAGCCCTGAGGGAAGAACACCGAAAAGATGTAACTGAAAAATTTCTCAACAACTGACTTGCCTCTCCCACATGATGTACTTTCACTGAGGTTGAAGGATCTTTCCCATGGCCAAGCCCTGGCAGATTCTGCTAACTTTCGAATTTTATTACATTCATACTTTTTGTATTTGGTTGCATGCATGCGGCGTGGGTTCTCTTCATGTCCACAATGATCAGGAAGTGTGTATAGGCATTCACACTAACACAGCTACAAAATGTGGCAGAGTGAGTAAGAGAATAAGTGAGATATACGGAGATATACACCTTTGAGAATTGCCTCTGAACATTGTGGCGGCACGTTTTAATCCCAGCACTTGAAGATAGAGGCAGAGGATCTCTGTGAGTTGGATGAAAACCTGGTCTACAAAGTGAATTCTGGCACAGCTACACAAGGAACTCATGTCTTGAAACCCAGAAACCAACCAAACAAACAAACAAGTGGTTCTGATAGGTCTGGTTCATTCTAAATTTGGGGGCCAGGGCATCAGCCTTGGGTTTTGTTAGGTCTGTTCTGATACAGAAGCTGTGAGTCCAAATTTTTTGACTCACAGTCTAGAAGCACAGAATGTCTAGGTTACAGTGTGCAGAGGAAAATCCTCTTTCAAGGTCCCTTAGTATTTGCTCACAATGCCCCCAACAGAATCGTCTGAGGCTACCCACATTTAAGAAGTCTACCCATGTAAAGGGCAATCACATTTGCAAATTCACAGTACAGGAACATGTAGACCTTGTGCTTCCCATGCTTACTGACCACTTTAAGGTAAAATCACATAATTCCCTAGTCACCCATTTAATATGTAAAATACAAATGTGTGTATGTTTGTTTTAACCATAGTCATCATCATCACCATAGTCAATTTTTAAAATGCTTTTTCCTCAAAAGAAACTTCAGAGCCATTCACAATCCCTATCTTGTGCTATACATGCTGTAGTAACCCAATATCCAGTCTGTGCTACTGCATTTCCTGTCTATAGATTCTTATGTTCTGGACATTATCTAAATTGGACTTTCAGGAATCTTGATCTTTGATAATGTAACATATCTATATTATTTAGTTTTTGTGTTTTGCATATACATATAATTTTGTTGAAGTTGCATAATACTACTTCAAGTTGCCAATATCTGCTGTTGTGTTCATTCCCTTATATATGGTGATGGGAGATGCCATTCTGTAAATATGTTTCTCTTATTGGCTAATGAATAAAGCCCTGTTGCCCAATAGGAAAGCAAGATAGGCAGGATTAGGAGACAAGGAGGATTCTGGAAGATGTAGTAGAGGAGAATCTAGATGTAGGGATTTGAGAGGAAGAGGTCCAGACCCTCTCTCTGGTAAGATATGATCATGTGAAAACACTTAGATTAATAGAAATGGGTTAATATTTAAGACAGAGCAAGCCAATGAGAAACACTAGTAACAGGCCAACAGCTTTATAACTAATGCAGCTTCTCTGTGTATTGTTTGTGGCTGACATGGCTGTGGGACCAGGCTGACGGGAAAACTGCTCATAACAAAATGGCGACTGCAACGTGGGTACTAAGAACTTCAACTTAAACTTAACAAAAGCTTAAGAAAGGATTTTAATAACAAAATAACAGAGACAGATCTTGGTAGCAGCTTTTTTCTCGGTTGGAGTCTGTTTTGCTAGAGACAAGCAGAGATTTGCATGGCTCCTTTAAGGGAAGTCTCCTGACTAGGCATAAGCAGCAAACCCTGCTAACAACTAAATGGTATGTACGAGAGCTGGCAATGGCAGTGACGGTAAATGTACTCCCCCCCCCTGCCATCTTGGAAAGACAGTGGCTAAAACAGCTATGGCTTTTAATTTTAGCAATGTTGTTTAGCAGATAAAAGACTTGTGGCAAGAAAAAGATAAAGATTTACAGTAAAGACAAAAACCTTTAAAGGTTTTTCTTAAATATACTTAGGCTTGGGAGAGAAAAAGAAACAGGGTAAAGTGGTTTAAAAATATAGAAGGAAAGAGAGCAGCTGGGTGTGGTGGCACACGCCTTTTATAAAAGCACTTGGGAGGCAGAGGCAAGCAGATCTCTGTGATTTCAAAGCAAACCTGGTATACAGAGTGAATTCCAGGATAGGAAAAAGTTACTCAGAGAAGCCGTGTCTCAAAAAATGAAGAAATAGAGTAATAAAAAATCCAGGTGAAGATGGAAAGCACACAGAGAGTCTGGATACTGTATGCTATTGTGTTGTCTTTGTAATTTTTTGACTGCTGAGGAAATAGCAACAACTGTTAAAAGAAATTCTGCTGGATTATTCTAATTCAAAATTTAAGTCTAAGGACAGGTTACTGGGGAAAAGAATTTCTGTTTTTGTTTCCACAGAAAACGAATAGCTGTGGATTCCTTTTAGACTAGCATGGTTTGATCAAGCAAGACAGTGTCCCAGGCGATCCAACATTCAAAACAGCTGGGACAAGACAGCCTTGCAGACCACTACAGCCAGGATTTCTGAATCTTCTCAGGATCCCCAAGACAGCACCCCCTACCAGCAGGAAGCAATTTGGAAAGACTGATGCACAAATTCTCTAATATTGTTTATAAATATTTGTTTTCATTTAAATAGGGATGCTTATAAATTGTTAATGACCACAACCAATCTCTTTTTTAAAGGTAAAAAGGGGATTAGGCATAGAAATGAATAATTTGTTATGGAATATATTGTCATTTATTGATATAAATTTAAGGTCAATTTTGTGATAAGTATATTTCCCCTCTTGTTTAAATATTGTGCTTATGTAGCTCATTTAAAAATATGTATAATTTAGTACAGATTATAGATAGTTACTGATAATCGTCAAAACTTATAGTTATGTTAGTTATG